TTCAAAAAAAAAAGTCTGACTTGGCCCTTAGACTTTGAGATTCTGTGCTTCATATATAGATAGTTATGCGGCCGTGAGATTTATAGCTAGGTCTCAGTGTGAATTTTCTCAAGACAACGTAGGTGTAGTGATTAAATCCACACACAAGGGGGAGCTGACACAACAGAGAGGAAGGACACTTTCCAAGACTTCTGTGACTGGAACAATACCAGTTGTCCTTACTTCACTCCTTTTGTGTATGGTGCTCCTCAGTACCTCCTCAGGGTTAAATTTGCACAGGCACCAGAGAGGAATGTGCTTACTCCAATGATGCTAAAATTTTGGAGGTGTCCCTTGTGTGCCAGCTCATAAAGGTACATGTTGGCACCCTGTGATTGCCTGTGGGGATTCATTATGATTCTATAAATCTAGACTAGGCCCTAAAGTGCCAGGCGAGTGGAAGCAAAGAGATTTCAGTTTATGAGAGGAGGAAGATTCATAGCAAGGAATTAAGGCCCACTCCTAGATATAGTTGAAATTAAATGGCAAAAATCATTGTATTTTACATCCATTTGTTTCATTCTTTTTTGGCAATTTGTAATAAGGAAATCAATGTGACCGTCAGAGGCCAAACACATTTTGTATTTTGTGCTGTTGCTGGGTATGCCCTTTTTTTATATATATATATAATTTTTATTAAATTTTCTGTTTTACAATTTCAAATAAACATTTTGCATACTTTAAAATATCAGTGACTTCCCTTCTTCTTTTTCCATGGTTCATTCTGGATACCTTACATCCCTGCATATTTTACAAAAACTATTCCACTGTTACATCCATCTAAGATTATTTATTCTGTTGCATTTTCAGCTGTACTTTACACAGTTATTTCCCATATATTCAATAAACGTTTTCCAATCTTCTCTAAACATATATTCTTCTTGCTCTCTTATTCTATATGTTAAGTCTACAAGTTGTGTATATTCTGTCAACTTAAGTTGCCAATCTTCTTTGCTCACTTTCCACTTCGGGGTTTACAAAACACGGGCCGCAGTTGTTGCATAAAAATGTTTGCCATTTTTGTAATGATATAGTAAAACTGGTGAGTTGACCAGACTATAAATGCCCATAACGAACCACTGCAGGAGTGCCTGCCATCTCGTGTGTTTGTGTGTGACTGAGACTAGGATATTGTTACCACCCACTGCTATTTTTTGAAACTGGGAAATATGTGAACACATTGGCTTCCTTTAAAGCCTCAAGTATGCTGAGTTCCTTTCTACACGTGCTTCTGGATTTACCACATACACAGGAGGAATGACAGTGTCGTGGGCACAATGAATCCCACAGTTCCACAAAGCATTGATAGAGAAAAACATTTCTCTTCCAACTGCCTCCACATCTCCTCCAGACAGCTATTTAGCAGTGCTTCCCCAGCTACAAATAGCTTTTGCATGTGACTAGACATCACCTTGCCAACAAAGGTGCGTATAGTTAAAGCTATGATTTTCCCAGTAGTGATGTATGGAAGTGAGAGCTGGACCATAAAGAAGGCTGATCGCCGAAGAATTGATGCTTTTGAATTATAGTGCTGGAGGAGACTCTTGAGAGTCCCATGGACTGCAAGAAGATCAAACCTACCCATTTTTAAGGAAATAAGCCCTGAGTGCTCACTGGAAGGACAGATCCTGAAGCTGAGACTCCAATACTTTGGCCACAATGTTTCAGAAGCTCATAAGAAAATAAATGTGCTAGACAGAACCTGGACAACCTTCAGGGCTGGCCTGCCCATGAGGTGAACTCAGGTAGCCACCTCAGGCGGCAGAAGCCCACGAAACAGCGCCCCAAACTTACAGGTGCCCCAACTACCCTGTGGTCACTGGCAGTGGCAGTGGTTTCCAGTGAGATCTCACAAAATCTCACTGAAATCTCATGAGATCTCACAGAAAGCTCACAGAAAGTTCTCATTTCTGTCCATGAGATCTAGTCATCACTACTGTTTTGTAGGTAAGGAAGGCTTCATTAGGGGCAGCAGGGGGAGACAACAGCAGGGCGGGGCAGCATTTTACTGTTTCACCTCAAGTGGCAAAAATGGGACATGATATTATCAAATAAATAGATAGATAATAGATAGATTTGTATACAGTGGTACCTTGGTTCTCAAACGCCTTGGTACTCAAACAACTTGGGACGCGAACCTGGAAGTAAGTGTTCCAGTTTGCGAACTTTTTTCGGAAGCTGAACGTACTCTGTTTTGAGTGTTATGCTTCCGCTTTGAGTGTCACACTTCTATTTTGAGTGTTATGCTGAGGTCTGCCTGGTTTTGCTATTTATTCTGCTTTTTTCTTTTTGCGGCTCTTTTTTGTTTTGTTTTTGTGACTGTGTGGAACCCAGTTCAGCTACTGATTGATTGATTGTGTGACTGCAGTACATTTTATTGTTTTCATTTTATGGACCAATGGACTCATTAGATAGTAAAATTCATGTTAAATTGCTGTTTTAGGGGTTGTTTTTAAAAGTCTGGAACGGATTAATTACTTTCTATGGGAAAGCCCGCCTTGGTTTTGGAACGCTTTGGTTTTGGAAAGGACTTCCGGAGTGGATTAAGTTTGAGAACCAAAGTACCACTGTACTGCCTTATACCTATAGATCCCAGGGCTACATTAGATTGCCTGGGGAATCATTTTTCTCAAGGTGTGTATGTTGGCACAGAAAATAAATCTGAAATGATCTATAGCAGGATGTAGAATCACATATTTTGTTTGTGGTACATGACTCGTTGATAGAGGACTACAGGTTCCCTGCCCTTCCCAGTTTCCATACACTTGTCACTAAAGAATACTTGCCCCAAACATGGATCATGGCATCCAGGGAATTCTCCTTCCTATCTTTTTAATTTTTGCTTGCACTGGCATGCTCAAGTGAACATTGTGAATGTGTGTGGATTCCAGGTGGTTTTCACAACTCAGGGGAGGCCATACCTCTGACATGTAAGCAAAACACCACACACCATTCTGAACTTTCCTTTTGAGAAGAGCAGAGACAGCACCACCTTCCTCTTTATTTGGAGGCTCGAATGATTCAGGAAGCACCCTACATCATTAGAATGCCAACAAGAAGCCAAGAAGCCATAGTCCTTCAATGCAGCAGATATAAATGCCCATCAAACAGGTAATAGGAGTTCTAGACCACTTGGAAAAAACAAATCAATACACTTGCCGGGCTTCCACAGCAGATGCATAACTTATTGAAGCACTGTCTGGAGGCTCAATTACAGTTGCTTCCTTGCTGGCAATTTCCTAAGTTAAATTCTCTTCACTTTTTGTAATTGGATGGGTGAGTAACACAAGATTATAGATATAAAAAGTGTGACTGCTTTACTGACCTCTTGGAATCAGAATGCTTCTATTAACTAGCTATTGCTGTGCACTGTCATTAAAGGAACATGGCACCAAAACATAGTTTTTGTGAAAGAGCAAGGCTCAAGCAACAACCGAAAATGGTATCCAGTACATGGGGAAGTTCTGGAATGATCTCTCAACACCTTCTGAATAATACACTCATTACAAAGTGCATTCACCCAAATGTTACTTCACCCTTGTTTGTTTGTTTGTTTAAGGGACTTACATTTTATGCTTCATGCATAAAAAATAAATAAACCTAGGTCAGTTTAAAATAAAATTTACAAACTCCAGCGCATAACAATGATAATTCTCCAATAGCATTACTGAGCAAGAATAGTACTTAAAAGTACGAAAAAGTTTCATGCATGAGTTATTTGTAGAGAATGGAATAAACAAACAGGGGTTCTGTTAAATAGTGAGTAGATATAGCAGACAATGCAGCCATTTCTCCAAAGCAGCTCTTTATTGTAAGCTGGAACAGAACTGATCAGCAAACAGCTCGGCCGGCCTGCTTTTATAGGCAGCCGGCTGTCAACATTGTAGCAACAACAACCCAGGGTTTCCCACCTAAAGTAACTGATGTGGACCTGAGTGAAAACTATATACACAATAGTCCTGGTGGCCAGGGTGAGAACCTCAATACATAACAGATTCCTAAAGAGAATGTTCCATGTAGAATCACCTCTAAGCTTGCCTGTATAAAATTATGCCTAAATACCTGAATTTATACATGTGGAATCAATGTCAGACAGGTTCATTTTCCATGCAACACAGAGACAAGCCTACGTCTGGCAAGAAACCTATGCTCAACAGAGGCCTGTAGCCAGTCATGGCTTCCTGGTGAATAAATGTGTGCAGGGCATGCCTTCATCACAGTCACACTTCATATAAATATATTTGGTTGGAATGACAAGTTGTAAGAAATATTATCATTTCCCCTCTGTAATGGGTAGTACCATTTACTCAGGTTCTCCCAACACTTTGAGTTTACCTGCCCAAGCTCCACACGAAACGTATCACATTGTGACATCCCAGCATGAGGTTGTGCAGGTTACAGAAGAAGAGAAATGAGATATGGCCACCATGGTCTTACGATGTGTGGTTTCTCCTGGATATGGGCACCTATGCAAAGGTTTTGTGTGTGTGTGGAGGCCCTCAGGGGCTCTAGGCTACAGTAGGTTAATATAATAGAGCCAGAATGGGGGACCTGCAGCCCTATAGCAGTTGTGGGATTCCTGTTCCCCCCCATCCCAGACCACTGGCTGTGCTGGCTGGCGTTTATGGAATTCAGAGTCCAGCCACACCTGAAGGGTCAATTCCAGCAATTCAGAGTCTTTTGATCCCTTTATAGCATGAGTTTTTGTGGCCTTAAGAGTCCAATTATTCAAATGCATATCTACTTTCCAGTCTATATATAATGTTTGTTGTTGTTGTGGTTGTTGTTGTTTAGTCGTTTAGTTGTGTCCGACTCCATGGACCAGAGCATGCCAGGCACTCCTGTCTTCCACTGCCTCCCACAGTTTGGTCAAACTCATGCTAGTACAGTCCTGATAATTCATGGTAAAACTGAAGGAAAGCAAAGTGACCATGAGGGAATGAGAGGGAATATTTCTCATCTTGACTATAGCTCAGTTGATAGAGCATGAGACTCTTAAACTCAAGGCTGTGGATTTAAGCCCCATGTTGGGCAAAAAGATTCCTGCTTTACGGGGGGTTGTACTACATGTCCCTCGTGCTCCCTTCCAACTATATATTTCTATGATTTTATGATTCTATTCAGAAATGAAACACTAATGACTTTATCATCCTCCACATCCCCATATTTGAGGAATACAACCTCTTCACAAGCAATGACATGAAGGGGGGGGGGGAGAGCCATTTTCTGCCCTGTTTGTCTTCAGCTTGCTCACTCCTTCTAAGTCTAAGCAGAGGTCTACACACCCACCCCAAATTCGCAAGTCCACAGTGAAAAAGATGGGGTTCATTTTCCACCCACACTCCCTGACCTGCAAACAAGCTGTGGTTTGCCAAAGAGCAGAATGGGGGCTGGTAGCTGAGCTGGTGCACATTATCCCTACGTACACACTTGGGTTGCAAAGGCCAGAAGTGCAGAAAATACCAGGCCCTGAGGGGACGGCTTATGAAGAATGGGCAGCGCTGCCGACAAAACAGCCCCTGCCGCTCCACCAGGGGCTGCGTCAGCCGTGCTGGAAAACCTGATAAGGGGTGATTGGAGGGGGGAAGCGAATGGAGTGGGGAGTGCCTGCCGCCAGGCCCTGTGATGCCCTTGCTGCTCCCCAAAGAGGTGCAGCAGGGAGACTGAGCACGTCGGAGCTCTACGCTGTTCCACGTCGCTCCCTGTGACATATTCCAGGGCTGCAGGTGGACGAGGCAGAAGTGGATAGAGAGAGGCAGGTCCTCGCGTCTGTTGGGTTTATATGAAACAGCCTCAGGCCCAAACAGGATCTAGATTAAATGGAAAGAGAGACAATATCGTCATTAGCAGAAAAGGGGCATCAGGGGCCTCCCTAGGCTTGGTTTCTCTCGCCTCCCGGTTATACTTCACACACTCGGTTCCACGTAATTGTATTGGGCAAATGATGCAGGCTTGCAAAAGGCTACACACTTTCCCAACCCATTAAGCAAATTAGCATTTACTGAAAGAACCTGCTCCAGTCCCTTATTCCTCCGGGAAGCCGTGTTCTGAGAATCACATCGCCTCTGACATTTTTCGGATGATAAGATTGGTACATTTTTTGTACGTTATTTGAGAGTGGCCGTTCGCTCACAGTGGCAAGAACAAGCCTTGGAGAGTGGCTATGACTCTTCAGATATACTCAGTGACTGGCATGTAACATCAGTACGATCTAGAAAACCTTTCTTCTTCTTCTTCTTCTTCTTCTTCTTCTTCTTCTTCTTCTTCTTCTTCTTCTTCATTTCTCTTTCCTTCAGAAGAGGGGTGAGGAACCTGTGGCATTCTAGATGTTGTTGGACTTCAGCATCCATCAGCTACAGCCAGCCAGCCTAGTCAGGGGTGACAGCTTAGCCCCTCCCTCCTCGCACACACTTTAGAAGATGTATGTGTTTACATTTAAGTCACCAATATATTTTCAGTGTGTTTTACACAAAAGCTGTTAGAATGACTTTCAGAATTTCAGCTTTTGGATCCAATACTAAAGCAAGAAAGTTGACATTCTTCTGACAAAGTCGGCTCATTTACAAGATATTATTAGATACACATCTGGAATGCAGCAGGGACAGGTGCATATATTGATGCTGGAGCTACACTTTTGGCTGCAAAAAACAAGACTGCTGTTGTGTGTCTGTGTGTAATTCCAAGAGGAGAAACACCTCATATGTTTGTTACTTAACTCTTTCCTTGCCCACAGCCTCGCTAACATCCACGAGAGTCTTAATCTCAGCCTTGTGGGTTCAAGCCTACATTGGGCAAAAGATTCCTGTATTTCAGGGGTTGGACTGGTTACCTTCCTGGTCCCTTCCAATGCTACAATTCTATGAATCTTTGAATCACTTTCCTTACAACTGGCATTCCAAGATGTGTGAAAGGGGTTTTTTTTGGCCAAGTTTGCAAAAGCTTCTGACAAAGCCTCTGTTGTTCTTCATGGCACAAATAGTTATAGAGTCCTTTGACCGTAGCTCAGCTCTTGGTAAAATAATGAGATGTGCTGGAGAATTTGGGAGATGCTTAAGGTCAGGAGCAGTTGTGGGATCCAGATGGGAAGCTCTTGTGGTGCCAGATCAGGTCCCTTGCCGTCTATTTGACTATTTCCCCCAAATCTGGTGTTCTTCAGTGGTTTTGGACTACAACTCCCATCAGCCCCTGCTAGCATGGTCAATGACCAGGGATAGTGGGAGCTATAGTCCAAAACAGTCAGAGGGCACCAGGTTGGGGAAGGTGGCTCCAGAATCATAGATGCCATGATCTGAAGTCAAAGGGATTTACCACACATCCCATTTTTTCACTTGCTCTTTTCTGGCCACCTGTCAGTGCAGACATTTTGTATAGATGATCATCAAGCATTTTATGCCGCGGAAATAACAGATGTGTGAGAGGGCTGGAAATTGCAGAGGTCCGCTCAGCGAGAACACATTTGTGGAGAGCCATAATTGGCATGATGATGTTGATCCATTACAAGCCTAGTGACTAATGCCAATTAAAAAAACACAAAACAAAACAAAAAGAAAAAGAAGAAGAGAGGAGAAAGACAGGTGTTGTGTCATCAGCAACAGCTACAATGTTTCCTTTGATCAAAAAGTGACTGAAAACTTGGCAGCGGGGGCGGGGGGAGAATCTATTGAACGGCTGCAAATTGTTGGGCATGTTTTCCTCTCTTGACATTTTCAAGGCAATCTTTTAAAAATTATTGGCATCAATATTATTGTCATTCAGAAACACAAATGCAAAAGGCATTATTAGAGAGAAAGAGGCTTTTAAAATTGTGATGGTATTGTTGTTGGTTTAACCCCCCCCCCCCACCAAAAAAGAACAGTGTGGTTGACCAGTCATTTTGTTTTTAGCCAATCTAGTCCAGAACCACTTCACATACATATTGCATTTTACAGGGGTACACCAACGAGTTAAGTGCACTGCTAAAAGTGTGAATAAAACAAACACATCTATTGGGTCCTGTGATCAGAGAGCCAAGAATGGTTGCAGCTTTCTGTGAAGTGGAGGACCAATGAAATGGTTCTTGAGATGAGTTAGTTCATTTAATGTGATTTTATTAAAATAAAAATAAAAAACAACAACTAACCAGTCAAGGTCATGGCTTTGAGCCCCACATTCGGCAAAAGATTCCTGCATTGCAGGGGATTGGACTAGATGCCCTTTGTGGTCTCCCCAACTCCTGTTTAAATCTATAATGTGATTTAAACAACAACAACAACAACAACAACCAATCCACTGGAGACATTTCCTCATCAAAATCAGAACCATGACAGAGCGGGAGTGGGTGAAGTAGGGCATAAAAATTAAGATCTTAGCAAAAACAACATACAAAATACATTATATTAGGGGAAATTGCATGCAAAAATGTGCACATTAGTCAGAACTGCATACACCTATGTGTTTATTAAGAAAAAAATTGCACTAATACTGAAGAATTTTCAGGAAGAGATTTTTATTTTAAATTCAGATTACTGCAAAATGTGGAGAACTGAATTTAAGATAGGGGAACTGAGATAACCCAAACTGGCAGACCCTGCCATCCTTATTCATGCCTGAAAGTTCCCTTTCCCTTTCCCCACTTGTACCTAACAGAAGGGAAGCAAGTATCTGTTGTGTTGGACTGAGAAGAGTAGGCAGAAGAGAATTTAATGCTTTGTTATACAGTATTATATTGGTAAACTATTTCAAGTGATTTTTGAGTTCTTTGTTTACTTCTATTTAATAACCCCCAGTTCATTCCTGTGGTGGTCCATCATGTGTTCGGACTCCATATGAAAACATTTGGTTGTTCCCTACCAGATGAGGTGGAGCAAGTGGGGACCGAAGAGCCTTTTCAGACCCATTTATGGAACTCATTTATGATGATTAATACTAACAGTAATTGTGCTTTGCTTCGTTTGCTTTGTGAGCCCACGTGCTAAACCCTGTCCCTGGAGCCTACCTGCCCAGAAATGAGACATAACAATGTATGGGTTTAAATTAGGCCACAACTTTATGGAATTTCAGGTGCAGGAACCTTGGCTTAGGCCTTGGAAGGTATCCCTCTCAACCCAACAGGGGTGAGGATGTGCAGGGCAGTCAGGTGCAGTGGGAGGGGACTGTATAGCATGAACCTGGTGGGATAAGTCCCACGATTGGAATGTAATAATGGAGGGATACAATCTATTTCAGAGAAACAGACCAGACAAGAAAGGAGGAGGAGTGGCGTTATATGTCAGGGATGTGTATACCTGTGAAGAGATCCAAGATTTAGAACCTCAAAGCCAAAGTGAGAGCATTTGGGTCAAAATTAAGGAGAGAAGAATAACAGTGACCTCATTGTGGCAGTTTACTATAGATCCCCAAGCCAAACGGAGGACATAGATGATGCCTTCCTGGAACAGATGGCCAAGCATGCAAAAGAAAGGGAGATAGTAGTAATGGGGGACTTCAATTACCCAGATATTTGTTGGATGTCAAACTCAGCCAAGAGCATAAGGTCAAACAGATTCCTCACTGGCCTTGCAGACAACTTCATTGTCCAGAAAGTGGGAGAAGCAACAAGAGGAACAGCCATTTTAGATCTGGTCCTAACCAATGTGGATGACCTGGTTAGTGGGGTAGAAGTGGAAGGATCATTAGGCGCGAGTGATCATGCTCTTCTGAAGTTTACTATACAGCGGAAAGGAGCAGCCAAGCATACTAGGACTCAATTTCTTGACTTTAAGAAAGCCGACTTCATAAAACTTAGGGAAGTGCTGGGTGAGATCCCATGGACAGTAATACTAAAAGGAAAGGGAGTTCATGATGGCTGGGAGTTTGTTAAGAGGGAGATAGTAAAAGCACAACTTCAGGCAATACCAATGAGACGGAAACATGGAAGGTGCCTAAAGAAGCCAGGGTGGCTATCTAAAGAACTTTTAACTGAGTTAAGATTAAAAAGGATGTGTACAAAAATGGAAAAGGGGGAAACGACCAAAGAGGAATTCAAACAAATAGCCAGCACGTGTAGACACAAAGTCAG